AATTACACAACCGTAAAATTAAATTTTAAAGAATTTATTTTTTTTGCGCGACGAAATAATTTGTCTCTCTAAGTCAATGCGACAAAAATATATCGTCGCGCAAATATTTTAAACACGAATCTACTCGTCGCAAAATACCTGCGCCACGAATGTTACTCGTCGCGCAGTGTCCTTACAACGACTATATTTCGTCGTGCAAATATTTTTGACACGGATATACTCTCGTCCCTCTGCTTTAGCGCGACGACAGTTTCCGTCGCGCAAATTGTTTTTGAACATACACAACCGTAAAAATAAATTTTAAAGAATTTATTTTATTTTGCGCGACCAAACTATTTCGTTGCGCAAATATTTTAATCACGAACACACTCGTCGCACAGTACCTGCGCCACGCATGGTAGTCGTCGCGCAGTGTCCTTACAACGACTATGCTCTCGTCCCTGTACTTTTAGTGCGACGCTTATGATTCCTCGCGCTATGTTAATGCAACGAATGTATATTCGTCGCGCAAAACTTTGACCGACGAAATATCTCATCGTCCCGTGAAAAAACGTGCAACGAAGGATTACCGTCGCTCATTTTGCGCGATAATTTTAATATTTTCGTCGCGCAAAGTGTATCTTTACGATCTTTGCGCGACAAATTTTGCGCGACGAATATGCTGTCTTATTACTATTTGTGCGACACAAATGTACTTTGCGCGACCAAAATTCCTTCGTCGTGCAAATAGAAAAATCTAGTAGTGAAGGTCATCCTTCTTTGTGTGACTGTATGTGAAGACCTGTATTTTAAATGGATAAAAGAAGATATTTATCATTTGGATAAATTTGGATGATATTATCTTTTTAAGATATTTATCTTTTGGATAAACTTGGATAATCTTATCTTGTGAGGATATTTATCTTTTGGATAAACTTGGATGATCTTATCTTGTTAAGATATTTATTTTTTGGATAAACTTGGATGTACTTATCCTTTTAATATTGAAGTTTATCCTATCCCTATAACCACTATAAATAGGAGCATAACCTTATAGTTTCAAAACATGATAAATTAGAAAGAAATTTAGAGAGAAGAAGAATTGTTAAGAAAAAAGAGTGGGAGACTGAGTTTGTGGATGTGGTGGAAAATTGGGAAAACACCTTACATTTCTAGCAAAAGTTTTCGTGAACACTATATTATGCGTGATATGATTATTTGATTAATATTCTTGTTACAATTGAATATTTTTCCTGGAATGTTTATGTGTTCTAGACTGGTTGAATAATGTTGGCATAATTATATATATACATTGGTGATGTTTTAAATGTTACATTGTTGTGAGATATATGGATATGTGAAATGCATAATGTCATGGAAATTGGTTGGAATTGTTGGATTGAGAAAATAATGATGGAAAAGAGGGTAATGGAAATAGTTTTTTGTGTAGTTGAGTCTAACTCTTGGCCGGCCGGTACCAAGTCTCAGGGATCCCACAATGCACAAGGTTTTTATTGGGTGATTCGGGACTGGCAATAGGGAGTTAGACAAGATGACTAACAAAAAGGAATTATGGGATGATTGAAATGGGTGTTAGTTCATATAAATGGGCATTTGAGACCAAGTGGTATAAGCATGGTATGGGACGTGCAGGTCTGCTTGTCTAGTTATATGAATTAACGGGAGTAGATAAATAGCATTCATTCATGTATTATTATTAATGTGATATTTGGCTGTGTGATTGCATGTCACTGAATTTAGTTATATCAATCTATTGTGTTAAGGTCTCATGTCTCTATTGAGCGGTGGTTGCTCATCCCTCACCCTATTTAATTTTTCAAATGAATTAGTGGGCAAGACAAGGACTAAACCCTTATACCCATGTACAAGTTTTGGGTCACGACCTTGGGTTTCCATACTTGGTTTGAGATTTAACTTTGGGCCAATCCACTTTGTTTATAGACCCAAACGCTTTTCTAATTGGCTTATCCACGTCATCCTCCTTTGTGGGTTGAAGGTTTGAAAAGATACCCTAGGTATAAATAGATTGATGAACCGTTTTCGCAAATGTGATTAATGAATCGAGCTCCACAAACTGAGGTAAATCTGGGGGATGTTATTCAGATTTTAAAATTCGTTCAATTTGAGCTTTTTGACTCATAATCTTCAATTCCTTTGTTTTAGTTGTTTATTGTTATTGGAAGTTTAATTGAGGATTCAAAATGAATTCAGAGGAGTTTAAACATAAATATTTACAGGTTGGATTGCTGGAGAGTTTTTACATATTTAGGTTTGTGAAATCTTGGGGGTTTATTGAGTTTGGTGTGAATTGAGTGAATTTGATGAACTAGGAGGAAGGTTACATGAGTTTATATTGTTTAAATGGTATTATGATTAAAATTAGAGGAGAAATTGGTTGAAAATCCTTGGAACTCACTAAATTCGCACCAGGGACCCGTTTGCAAAGTAAAATGAAGTTTTTGGGACAATTTTGAAATTTATTGAAACTTAAGGAGCTAATGTAACATCCCATCCCGAATTTTTAT